GCATAACAATGCCGAATAGCAAGAATGCTGAGGTTAATCCTAGGGCAACAGTTTAGTGCAATAATCCCCATTACGATTCTAAAAAAGTTGACATTGGGTTGGGAAGGGATTAAACCCCAATGGCAAAGCACAGCCCTAAGGAATGGGTGAAGGGGGAAACAGATTCCACCCTCTGCGATTGATAGGAGAGGGAAGACAATCGTGGTTTCATCAGCCCTCTCCATATCGAGGGTGCCGTCTGTCATAAGTGATAGACGGACGTCATTAGGAATGGAGAAATGGCGTCGGAAGCCAGAAATTCGATCCAAGGAAAGGAGATCTTTTAAGTGTTTTGCCATTTCGTTTAGTCTATAGGAATATGCTAAGCCAAAAATAAAGCAAGAAAAAAGATTCAGGGCAGAGAGAGAGAGAGAACTTACAAGAGACGAAGAGGATAGTGAAGAGGAGGAAGTTGCAGAGGTAATTCGGAAGGCAGTCCAGCGACGAGCGTCTAAAAGTGTGTATGTATTTGAAAAGACGTCGAAATTTTAAATCACAATAAATAGAAGTGTACGAAGGGGGGAAGTTGAAATGATAACCGAGAAGCGTATGCTCAGACATTTGCGTTGGAATGAGGTCAGCCGCTGAATTTCGGCTATGACTTTTCGAGTTCGAAACCAAACGATCCAGCCAACTGTCGTTAGTGGAGTGCTTGGGGGGCAATTGTGGGGGCCGAATAATGGGAGTTGTAGAGATGTCGAATAGTCGAACTTGGAGTCGAAATATATAGCACTCGGCACCGTCTCGCACTCTCGAATCCTATCCTATTCGGCCAAATAGCCGGTCGAGCAAGGGGTCGAGTGAAAAGCGGTTTGCTACAATTGAAGCCGAATGGCGAATTGAAAGTGGATCCAATCCCGAGGCCCAAGAAAGAAAATATATAAATAGAAGAACATCAGCAAGTAAGAGGCATGTGTGAACCATTACACTTTACTTAAAATACAAGTAATTCAAAGAGTCGAGACTGACTTGCCCGTTAGAGTGCTAATTCCGGCACCCCCGACCGGAGTGTTAATTCTTTGTCAGGTGACTAGTTGAGGATCACTAGCGTCCCCTAGGATCTGAAGAGTATTTCCAAGCCACTTCTCCACAGATATATATTGGAAGTTCTTCTTAAATGATAGAAGCATTTAAAGAGTCGATGATGCAAACTTTTGAAATGTCTGACTTGGGTGTTTTGCATTATTTTTTGGGTATTAAAGTTGTACAAGATTTAGACGGTATTTTTATTTGTCAAAAGAAGTATGTAGATGATTTGTTAAAAAAATTTGGAATGATGAATTGCAGGCCTTCCAAGACACCATTAAATGCAAATAAAAAGCTTTCTTTGAATGATGGGGTTGAAAAGGTTGATAAGAAATATTTCAGAAGTATAGTGGGAGGACTCATGTATCTCACTCATACAAGACCAGATATAGCATTTTCTGTAAGTCTCATATCCAAGTTTATGCACAGTCCAAGCAAACATCATTTGGGGGCAGCTAAGAGAATCTTGAGATATGTTCCAGGCAGTTCAAATTATGGCATCAGGTATATGAAAGGCAAACCCAATAATCTTATTGCTTTTACTGATAGTGATTGAGCTGGTTGTGCAGATGATAGGAGGAGTACAACAGGTTATATATTCAGCCTTGGTTCAGGAATCATTTCATGGGCATCAAAGAAGCAGCAGAGTATAGCTTTGTCAAGCACAGAAGCAGAGTACATAGCAGCCATAACCACGGCATGTCATGCTAGTTGGTTAAGGAGAATTTTGGAAGATCTAAAGGAAAAGCAAGATGGTCCTACTGTGATATTTTGTGACAACAAATCCACAATTGCATTGACCAAGAATCCAGTCCAGCAAGGAAGATCAAAACACATTGAGATTCGATACCATTTCATTCGAGAGTTGGTTTCTAAAGGCGAAATAGAGCTACCGCATTGCAACATAGAGAAATAACCAGCTAATATTCTCACAAAGGCTTTTGCAGAAGATAAATTCAAGAAATTTCGGTCCATGATGGGAGTGAAAGCCCTCGTTGAATTGAGGGGGGAAATGTTAGAACATAATTCAAACGTGGCTAAAGGGACAGTTGTAGCAGATCTGATGTGGGACACCTGTTGATTGTTGTTCTACAAATATGTGATAGTGGACTTAGTGGTTGAGAGTCTCTAAGATTAATTGCCTAGTGGTTGAGAGTTTTTAGGTGTTTTATTATCTGTCAATTTAATCCGGTAGAAAAAAAATAAGGAAGTGGTGCATCGCGTAGCTAACAGAAGAGTCTATTTAAACTCTTTTGAGTGTTTATTTTAGGGATGTCTGCAACCATTTGTAAACACTACAATATTCAGTAAATTTTAGAGTGTTTCTTTCACAATTTTTTTGTCTAACAATTATGACCACTATATGCTCTTTTTTTTTTTTTTGAAAAATAGATCAAATGGTAGCAAAATTGATAGAATTTGGCGTGCCAAAATAACATAAGAACCGTTTTCAGTGGTATAAAAAATAAAAGAAAATAAAAAAGTGGCCTTTTTTACTGTATCAAGCCAATAAATAGTTTGGCAATTCCATGTGACAATGGAGTTGATCTTGCTTAGCTTAGTTGTCAAGAACCAATCCGAGCTGTGTGGCATTGTACTGTACTACCCATTCGAGGACAGCAAGGACTTGAGTTTGGACAGCCTCGCTGAAACTCTTGTTCACACCAATCAACACTTGTGTTTGGGCATCTACCAAGAACGCATATACACATGATGTTTGGACTCCTCTACCTCCACTCCGAGTATTGTTGTTTCTGCTTTCTTAAATTCACCTTGTAGCCTTGCAGGTACTGCACATATGGTGAGATTTCGACAGCGCAGGAGCTAATGTTAATATTATTAATAGGATCGCAAGTAGACGTGCAATTGGTGATTCTTTTGTTGTCCAGATCAATCAATATGGCCTCCTGGTTGTTGCACTTCTCGTCTGTGGCCATGACTACATTGGTTGTTTCTGCGAAGCGAAAATGGCTAAATCTCAAGTCAATGCTTGAAGTTGAGTTTACGTTGTTGTTGATGGGGCAGTTGGGAGATGTTACTGGATTGTTGACTTGAAGGTAGCTTCCATTGAATGAAATTTCCAGCATCTCAAGATTGATCTTTATTAAGTAAGGTGCGACTCCGTTGTTGTTGTTGCGTGAGTTCTTGCATCCTATAGAGAACCATTCATCTAAGTAACAATTGGGACCAATTCCAAAAGGATATGGAGTTCTAACATCTCCGCAGTATTCTGGACAACCAGGCTTAGCATAACAAAGCGCAAATGTTTTTGTTAGCCATAGCAGCAATTGCAGCAACAGGAGGATGAGAGAAGAGGAGGAGTTTTTTTTGCAAAACCATGCTTTTCTTTTCTTTTGTTTTTGGTCTTATTCGTCTTTAGTTTTTATGTTGTTTTTATTTTGCATATTTTATGTTATTTCCCTCTTGATTAGGTAGTAGCGTATGTGTAATATACTAATTTAATTTAATTAAACAGAGACATCTCAACCTCTGTCAAATGTTTATGTAGAAGAAGGCTTGAGATGCCTCAACTGTCATAATTGACCACAATCTACACTAATAATAAAAAGACTTCTATTATATATCAGCAAAATAGTTTACTATTGATAAATAATATTTCTCTAATAACAAATAAATAAATAGATAAAGTTTTTTGAGAAATTCTTTAGAGCACGGAAGACTTCACCGGCATTCATTCTTCTACCGTTTGACATGGAACTCCATTAAATGCAAGAGTTTGAAGCCAATACCATAGGAACCACAATAGTAGTCCTTTAGATTGCAAATATGCAGAGAAATTTGACGATTTAGGGATAGACTAGCTAATTGCTGGAAGGGTGACACAGATTAAAGCAGCATTGTCCAATTTACCAATGTACTACTTATCTGTTTTTTAGAATGTCTGTAATAGTGGAAAATAGATTGGAAAAGTTATAGAGATGATTTCTTTGGGGTGGTTGTGAAGAGATTAATTCGGTGAATTGAGAAAAAGTGACAACAATAAAGGAGTTTGGCGGATTAGGTGTTATTCCTATAAGACTAAAGAATTCATCACTTTTTGTCAAAATGATGGTGGAGATTTGGGAGAGAAAAAAGGACTCTTTATGGAGGAAGCTTATTGTTCACAAATATAATGGGAATGGGAATGAATGATCGATCCCATTGCAAATAAGGGAAGGTGTTGCTTCTGGTTTATGGAAAGGAATTGTGGAGGTTGGCCAGAGTCATATGATTGATAGAGTTAGGACACTGTTAAAACGAAAAATTTAACTTAAAACTGTGAAATGGATTGCAAATAAGGTTTTGGAAGGATAAATGGTCTCATAATTGTTTCTTCAAACGCAGATTTTCTGGACTTTTTAAACTTTCTTTGCAAAAAGATTGTAAAGTATGGCTAAGGTCTGTTCTTTTGACGAGAACAACAACATAGTTTGGGATTTCAGATTTAGAAGATCTTTATTTGAATGAGAAAAAAGAGAATCATGTGGAGTATTACTCAACTTATTGGAAGCAGTCCAATTGAGACTCAATTCTGAGAACAACTTAATTTGGAAGAGAGGCAAAGATGGTGTATTTATTTACTTATTTATTTATTTTTCCTGTTAAGTCTTTTTGCGATTTATATTGCACATGAGGAATCAACCAAACATCCTCTCCTTTTATGTAACTTCGCTCGGAAAGTCTGGACTGAGATTTTGAGAGTGGTGGCTTAGGTGGGGTTACTCCAATTTGGAGAAACAAATATAGACATAACTTTTCTTTACAACTGTGTGAGACTTTATGGACTACACAAGAATGATATCATCTTCAATAGAGCTCAATCTAGTTGGATTAATGTTGTGGATTTGATCAAGATCAGACAGTCTTTTGGGTATTCGATCAAACAAATGAATCCAGTTTGTTCTTGGTGAATGATTTTATCAATAGAAAATATAGTATAGAAAACTACTATTGCTGCCAATCCAAAGCATAAGTAATTAGTACATATGTTTGTAACATTACATACTAGTACATAATTAACATTTGAATAACAAAGCTTTATGGTAAATATCTAGCATGGACAAGCATTGTATGTATAGTTTATACTTCACTACATAGTATGCAATAGTGGTCGGACATCAAATGATAAAGATGTGCCACTCCCACTATCTAAAAATGTCCCTGTTGTTGTTGAAGCAACATCCAAAGCCCTAGTCAAATCGGTTGTATTGTATTCAACTTCTTCATAGTGTTGGTGAATGGTTGAACTTCCTTGTGACATTCTAATTCCTTCCAACTCAACTGTTACATCTTTCATTGTAGGCCTCTTTTTCCCATTCAAGTTTAGACATCTTTTTGCGAGGTGAGCAACAGCAATCATCTCTTCTCTCCGACCATCCTTGAGAATCCGTGGATCAAGAATCTCAAGTAGACAATTTTCCTCCATTGATTCCATAAAATGTGTGACTAAACTCCTGTTTTCTTGGGATCTGGTGGAAGAGATTGGTTTTTGCCCAGTTAGAAGCTCAACAATAACAACTCCAAAACTATAAACATCACTTTTATCAGTAAATTGGCTCGATTGGAAGTACTCTGGATCCAAGTACCCAAATGTCCCCTGTACTCGTGTGGTCAAATGAGTATTATCAACATCAATTGATGTTGAAGTTCCAAAGTCAGAAACTTTTGCTTTGTATTTATTGTCTAGGAGTATGTTGGTTGACTTCATGTCTCGATGATAGATGGGTATGGAAGCTGCATAATGCAAGTAGGAAAGAGCTCCAGCAACTTCTGTAGCAATCCGAAAGCGCATCTCCCATGAAAGTAGGAAATCCTCGTTTGGATCATGAATATGTTGAGAGAGTGTTCCATTTGGAATGAACTCATATATTAGTATTGGAACGTTGGTCTCTAAACAACAACCTAAGAGCTTGACTATATTCCTATGGACAATTTGTGAAAGAATGACGACTTCATTGATGAATTGCTCAACTTGTCCATTGTCGATAACCTTAGACTTTTTAACAGCTATAATTCTTCCATCTGACAACATGCCTTTGTAAACAGTACCTGTTGGAAAATTAATTGAAAGTAAGTGGTTAATTAAAAAATTTAGAAAAATAAACAATAAAGAAATCTTATTGAAATTAGAGAAAACAAAAATCATAAATTTTGCTACAAATCAAATCCTGGATTTATGAAATAGCATAACTACATAATTATGGTTAAATTAATTTGGAAAGATTGTATTTGATTTTTCAATAAAAATATTATGACAAATATTGGCTCATACGCGCTCACCGCGCTATATACCAATCCAACACACGTCTGTATGTATATGTAAATATATTACACGAGTGTTGTGCTGACTTTTGGCATAAAAAATTCATAGTGCCCTCATATTCTTGACCCTTATCCAACCCAAAGAAGGATCCATGTATAAAAGGCCTCAAGATGTTTGATAATAAATCAATGCAAGATAAGAAATTATTTGTGAGCTTTAGATAAAGAAAGGATAACAAAATTGTACCTTGGCCTCCTTGGCCGAGAATACGATCTTCATGGTAATGATCGGTGGCTTTCTCCAACTCCTTCGAATCAAACAATTTGATTTTTTCACTGCCATCACATGAGGATAACTTGTGTTGTAGCAAGAAACCGCCATTTCGCTTGAAGAAATTTTCCTTGCGTTTCTTGTCATTTATTTTCTTCATTACTTTGTACAGCCACCATGAAGCAATAAGTAAAAACAATAATCCTGCTGATCCAGCACAAACACCTGTAGAGAACTCAACTCCATAATCAATATATATAGAACCAAAATTAAAAAATTAATATTTGAATATCAGGTCTAGCAAAAGTTTTAATTTTTTTTTCAATTTTATAAAGTCATGTGTAATTCAATTGAAATGGATGGTATACATATTTAAAGTTGATGTTGTGGGACATACTCAAAATGCATCAACTCTATACTCATTATTTTTCTGAGTATTAAGAAATTTACTAAAAATCTATCCTTACATAAAAAAATAACAATAAAACTGGGCATTTTTTCGTAAACATAACTTATGCCGAATTATTTGGACACAAAATTTGAAAGAAAGAAAAAAAAGAGAGCTGATTTTAAACTCAATTAAAATTATGGTTGTCAAAAGCAATTGTATATAATATTTATTTTAAACAATAACATTAATTTATTAGAATTATTTGTTTGTTTGTGATTTTAAAATTTGAAGTTAAAGAAATTAAAAATGAATGATAAATATTGATAAGAGTAATTTTTTTAACATAAATTTTAATCAAGTTTTTAAATCAGTACTACAATCAATATTTCTAATTATAAAAAATTACTAAAAAGGAATGTTAAATATTGATTTTAAATCAGTAATGACTTAAAAGCAAAAAGGAAAAGGTAGAGTAATAAATTGAATAAGAAATGATTATTAGATTTACTAAAAAAATTTTTGTGGATGAAATACACAAAATGCACGATATAATGAACGGCTTGGATTATTGAAACATAACTCGTGATGAGCTCCACGGACCTGAACAACATCCTACAATCCAGATTATGGACTAGAGGGAATCCACTTCTAAATATTTATGTTCTCGTTTCTTTGTAATCAATTTTTTAAAAAAAAATTTACTTAAATTATTTTTATTTCATAGATTATACACATAAACTATACCAAATACTCCATCATAAAATTTTAAAAATAAAATAAAATAAGCTATACACAGCTTCATAAATTACACCAAACAATCCCTCCATTTCTATGTTGTTAAACACTTGGAAGAAAAATGAGCTTACCAATGATAATACCCGCATTTGGCTGAGGTTTAATGAACGTCTCTGCATACAATTGCAATATCAGAAATTTAAAGCAGCTATCAACCAAAAAACAAACTTTACAAAATACTGGACAATAATCACTCCAATAATAGCCTTGTCTGATTAACAAGATTAATAGTGAGCAGATTAATAATCTCATGCTTTAGTATATGATTAATTATTCAGTTAAATTAGTGAAATAGTCATTTATTATGTATTCATTTTGTTTTTTTGTTTTTTTTTTTCTTTCATACTTAAAATTATGATTCTCATTCAAACATGAGATTGTGAGTTTATGTACTAACAAGCGCAATCCTATATTTATAATCCTTATAATCAAACAAACCTAGTGTAGTTGAAATTAATCTTAAATATGATATGCGTCATATTCAATCACTCATCCATCCCTTTCCCAACCACCAACACCACCGCCACACCACTATCACTATAGAACGACTTCAAACCTACCCTTTGTCCAAAAAGTCAACCGTTTGATTTGATTTGATTTGATTTGATTTGATTAGTTACCTCCTAAATAAATAAATAAACGAATAGAAATATCCCAATTAGTTGGTTGGTTACTTAGATGGGTTGAGAGAGCGTAAGAGGTACCTACGCATCCATTGGAAAAATAAGGATTTCCATAGAATGGAAAATTGCAAACGCACTTGAGGCTATGAACAACAAAATAAAAGTCCGAGATAGAAGAATAAGCCGACGACCCCTGAATACGGGAGTAGCTATTGTTATTGTTGTCGGCAACCAATCCGAGTTGTGTGATATTGTGTACAACCCAATTGAGAACAGCAGGGACATGAGTTTGCTCAGCGGAGTAGTTGACGGAACTATTATTCATATCTACCACGAACGCATACGTACATGATACATCCATAATTCCTATGCGTGTTAAGGCTTCGAAATTCACCTTGTAACCCTGCAGATACTGCGCGCTTGAGAATCCGACCGTGCAAGTAGAACTATTAGCAGAATCGCAAGTAGACATGCAATTGGTAATCTCCTTGTCGGTCCAATCACATAATTTGGCCCTCGTGCCGCATTTAATGCCCGTGGCCACGAAGACGTTGTTTATTTCTGAGAAGCGAAAAGGGCTAGATCTCAAGTCAATGCTTGAATCCAAGCTTGAGTTGTTGTTGATGGGGCAGTTGGGAGATGTTACTGGATTGTTGACTCGAAGGTAGCTTCCATTCAATGAAATTTCCTGTAACACGCTGTCCCACATCGGAAGTTTGCATGGGTGATCTTGGGCATATATAGCACCACTACCTTGCTACTAATTAACTTGGACTTAAGTTTTTGGGTATTGTTGGTTGACCCACACGTTATTTGGGCCAGCAAGTAGTGGGGCGTTACAAATGGTATCAGAGCCGACCCATGCACACACACTTATTCTGGGCTGGCCACGACAAGCTCGTGGTATTCTGATTGATTATAGACCCTCGCGAGGACGCGAGGATTTATAAGTGGGGGAGTTTGTAGATTTATAAGTGGGGGAGTTTGTAACACCCTGTCCCACATCGAAAGTTTGCATGGGTGATCTTGGGCATATATAGCACCACTTGACCCATACATTATTTGGGCCAGCAAGTAGTGGGGCGTTACATTTCCAGCACCTCAAGATCGATCTTTATCAAGTAAGGTGCGACTCCGTTGTTGTTGCTGCTTGAGTTCTTGCACCCTATGGAGAACCATTTATCTAAGTAACAATTGGGACCTATTCCAAAAGAATATGGAATTCTAACATCTCCGCATTATTCTTGACAACCAGGCTTCGCATAAGATTGCGCTGATGTTTTTGTCAGCCATAGAAGCAACTGCAGCGCCAGGAGGAGGCAGAGGGGGAGGGGGGAGGAGGAGGAGGAGCTTTTCTGCAAAGCCATTTTTTTTTCTCTGTAGTTTCTAAGTTTTATACGTATTTCTTATATTTATAAACATTTCCCTCTCCCCGTGTAAAATGTTTACGTAGAAGTTTTGAGATTCCTAGATGACATAATTGACCGCAACTCTCGACTACATGTTTGACTCTTTCTATATTTTAATACTATTCATGTTCGAGAAAGAAAATGCAATCCTTGAATAATATTGAGGGATAATATTCAGTAGTTTTGGGATGGATTTAAATAATTATACTTTTTGACTTTTTATAAAAAGATATATAGAAAAATAGGGATTGATATGACTCAAATAAATATATTTATCTAAATAAGTGTACTTATTTAGTTTATGCCAAATACTGCCTCAATGTAATAAATATCCTCCACAATTTTAGAATGAAAATATCACAAAGTGATAAATGCATACTCCATCTGTTCCATTTTATTGGTACATTATTTTATTTTTTATTATTTCAAAATATATATCCACTTTGAAAAATCAAAACTTTAAATTTAAAATTTTTCAAAATTATCCCTTATAAAGTAATTATAAATATATTTAAAAATAAAAATAGAAAGATATTTTTAAAATTTGATCTTTTAAAATTTAAATTTAAAATGTAATGATTATCTCTCCTTAAAAAGTTTAAATTTTCCAAAGGAATTATCAATTTACGACAGAGGAAGTACCACGCAACACAAATACACATACCCAAACATGCAAGGTCAATGTTATTTTCTCTTCAAGAAATCTATACATACCCAAACATGCAAGTCAATGTTATTTTCTCTTCAGAAAATCTATTTATTGGACAAATTTATAGTACAAAACTTAGCAAACTATGTTAAAGTTACTTTAAGATTCTAGATCAAACAGTGTAAAATTGTCTAAATATATGAATGGCTTATGTTCTACATGTGCGTAAAATGTTTGAGATGTATTCTATTAAATATCTTTTAACAAGTAGTTGAGTGAAGACAGATTGACCAGTGGAATTGCATAGAGTTTTTGATATTTTCTTATTTGGCCAAACCTAAATTTAGCGCATGCAAAAAAATCAATTATGTCTAATTCATTTATCTATTTTCCATTTGAATACAAACATTTTTTTTTAGATTAATTTGTCATGATAAAGTGTATGTATGTATGTAGCTAATGTTCTAGACTGAATTCAACTAATATATGTAAAGGAAAATGTTTGGGATCCCCACAAAGGAGGACCCCCACTCATGTATTGACCATTGATGTGTTTGAATTTTTTTGGCGGGTGGTGTCTGACAGTGACATGAATGATTCAGATCATTTTGCGGGTTGTGGGGGTTGTGTTTTGTGGGGGTCTCTATCATTACTGATATGTAAATATCCAGGATGTATCTATATTAGTAGTCCCGGAATATGGACACGTGGTATTCCATAGTATTATGATTGGTGAAGAAGATAGGTAAATTGTGTGAGTGTTAATTTTTAACTTCGCAACCAAACTAGATTTTATAGTCGAGATACAAAAGAACTTAGATCTCGGCTACAAAATAAACCACCTGAAATAAACCACACAATAATGACACACAATATTTAAGTGGTTCGGCCTCAATGCCTACGTTCACGGAGGGAATAAGAGATTTCCACTAAAACAAATAAAGATTACAACAGAGGAGGAGACCTCTCTCACTCAACTCACACACTCTCTACTATCTTACACTCACTGCTCTCTTCTCACCTTCGTAGAGATACACACCTACTTGTGTATTCCTGCTACCAACTCACTTGTGTTCTACTTATCTCTTGTAAGCTAACTCAAGATATAGAGGGAGTTGGAGACCACAGTCCATCCCACTCCCATATGAAAGCATTAACTTGCCACCTTTCTATGTACAGCTTATCTCCCTAGCTTCTCTTCCACCATCGTCAACACTTGGTGGCTACTATGCATTCATGCCGACCAATGTCAACAATGGTGGCTACCTCTATCCACACGGGTGAACTCAACAATGCACAAATACATGTGAATGTTATCATGCACAAATCAAGACCGCTTTACCAAAAAGTAAATTTAAATAAATAAAAGATTGAACAAAAAAATAGCATGACAAATTAAAGTTGATTTAGACCAAACCATGCTACAGGATTGGCATGAACTGTCAAAATTGAAGAGCATTGTACATAATGGCCTTGTTTGATTATCATGATTAATATTGCCAAAAATGTGCCTTGACATGTTTAAATCCTGTAAGTAAGGAGGGGTTGAACAAAAAAAAAAAAAAAAATTGTTTCCATGCAAAAAATTATCATAAATGGGGATTAAGTGAACCAACCTTATCTCCCCACATATCCAAATATGTTGTGTTTTTCATCACAAAATGAAATTGATATGATCTTGTGGTATAATTTATATCTAATATTTACTTGTTACGAACATAGAAACTAATAATAGAGTTAGACACATAAAATACAAAAATCAATTATATCTACAAAAATCTTATTCATTCATATAGATTATATATATATAAAGTACTGCTCTGTTTGCAATGGTCATCTTCATTTGAGGTGCAGGTTTCAAATTCTTAAGTCTATTCCTACGTTTAAGTCAGTCTTCATTTATGTAGTTTTGATACATTTAAGAAATTAAATTGAAATCAAAAGCAAAATGGTTCATTCAAAATTTAATGAACCATTTTAAATTAGACCACAATTTCCCTATCACTTTGACAGGAGTGAAGAATATTATTTCGCCCTTTGATGAATTACAGAGGATGAATTACATGATTTTGACTTGATGGCTAAATTAAGAGCATTGCTACCATAGGAGGTGTTAAGGAGAAGAGAGGTCAAAAGCCTGGTGTGGAAATTAAAAAGGAGAAAGGAGTGGATATGGTTGCAGAAGTCAAGATTAGATTGGACATTAAATGAGGATAAAAGCACAAGGTTCTTCCACTTAAGTGCTAATAGGAGATTCACCAAAAATCTAGTAGATTCAGTGGAGGTTAATGGGGTTGGAGTTGAGGAGCCTGATCAAGTGAAACATGAAGTGCTAAGGCATTTTTCTATGCTAATCAAAGAAGAGTGGGCATCAAGGCCAAAGCTAGTAGGTTCTATGTCAACAATGAGTAGATCAAAGCTTGTGGAGATACTTGAAGCTGAATTTTCTTATATGGAAGTTTGGGAAGTGGTAAAGGATTCTAATGGAAACAAAGCTCTTGGGCCTGATGGTTTTAACTTGTCTTGTATCTAGAAGTGTTGGAAATAGATGAAGGGTGAGGTGATTCAATTTATGAAGGACTTTCATTCCAATGGAAAGCTAGTGAAAGGTTTGAATTACCCATTAATAACCTTGATCCCTAAAAAAAGATAGTCCCGATGGATTGAGTGATTATAGACATATTAGCTTGGTTAGTTCAGCTTATAAAATTTTGGCTAAAGTACTTTCAAGAAGAATTAGAAAGGTTCTACCAGATGTTATTGGTGAGGTATAATCAGCATTTTTGGGTGGTAGAAACATTTTTAATGGGATGATGATTGCAAATGAGGTGGTTGATTGGTGGAAGAAGACAAAGAAAAAGGCAGTTATTTTGAAAAGGCCTACGACTCAGTGAACTGGAATTATCTGTTTTCTATGATGTCTAATATGGGGTTAGGAGATAAATGGAAAAATTGGATGATATCTTGTGTAACCAAAGCTAGAATTTCAGTGTTAGTAAATGGGTCTCCTATGGAAGAGTTATCCCTTCAGAAAGAGATTAGGCAAGGTGATCCACTCTCACCTTTCTTATTTAACATAGCAGCCGAAGGTCTCAACATTCTGTTAGAAAGGACAAAGGAGCTAGGACTATTGAAAGGTGCATCTGTAGGGCTAGCTGAGTTAAAGCTATCATATCTTCAGTTTGCGAACGACATTATAATCTTTTGTGAAGCTGAGGAGGAAGAAATTTTAGTCATCAAGAGGATCCTTAGGTGTTTTGAGGTGATATCAAGGCTCAAGATTAATTTTCACAAAAGTGTTGTGTATGGTGTTGGTGTGGATGATGAGAACATTCAGGAGGTTGCCTCTATTTTGAATTGCACAAGTCAGAAACTACTCCTTAAGTATCTAGGATTTCCTCTTGGTGCTAGTCCTAGAAGTAGGAAGATTTGGCAACTTGTGGTTGATAAGATTAGGTGTAAGTTGGCATCTTGGAGGAGAAAATTTATGTCGTTTGCTAGTAGGCTGACATTGATAGGGTCAGTAGTGTCTAATTTACCTTGCTATTACCTGTCTTTGTTTGTAATTCCTAAAGGTGTGGCCAAGGTGATTCATAAGATTTAGGCATCTTTTCTTTTCTTTTTCGGGGAGAGGGGGAGGGGGCTTAGATCTAAAGAGAAAGGTGCATATGTTTAAATGGGGGGAAGTGACGAAGCTAAGAGAGCAAGGAGGTTTAGGTATTAGAAGGATTAGGGAGATGAATGAGGCTCTGCTATTGAAATGATGGTGGAGGTATGAGGTGGATGACAATGCTTTGTGGAAACAAGTGTTAATTAGCAAGTATGGCTCTCAAGGGGGAAGATGGTTGCCTGAGTTGTTCATTGCAGATGAAGGGAAGGTTTCCAGGATTTGGAGTGACATATTGCATATAGTAAGATCTAACTATCCATTGTATGATTTTTATGCAAGTAATATAAGGATAGGGATTGGTAATGGTTGTAGAATTCAATTTTGGAATGACAAGTGGCACGTGAATATCCAAATTAAAGAGAAATTTCCTAGGTTGTATAGCCTATCCATGGATAAGGAAGGATCTTTGAAGGAGTTTGCTCAAAGAAGGCAGAGTTCTGGGGATTGGTTATTCAACTTCAGAAGACCCCTTTTAGCTTCGGAAGAGGATGAGGTTATTAGATTACAAG